TATAGTTACATTCTCTTAATGAATAGAATGATTTGTTCTAATGGTGTTTGTAAATAGGATATCAAGTCCGCATCTTGTACAGCAATTAACCACTAAGAAGAATGTATGCAGTGTGTTAATTATTGAAATTGTCCTACCGATTTGATTTGAAATTGTCTCATTGCTATTTGTTTATCAATAAAATTATGGCAAAAAGAAGATGAAAAAAAAAAAAAGCTTAGCCTGGAGACTGAGACCTGTGAGAAGGTATGTAGCCTGCCCCAGTTCAGCTACAAAATGAAAGGTCTCACAATCTGCTTGGGGTAAAAGAAAAAAATTCTGAAGTTCATGTAGCTGACATTTAGAGGAAAGCTCACTGGTATTCAGGAAAACTGAAATTATCCACAGAATTATAGAAGGCAAGAGAGAATTTGAAGATAGGCCAGAAAAATTTCTCAGTGTGAACTTTACTAACAGGAATAGATTATTAATGTCAATCTTTCACATGTATGGAGCTGTTCTACTGGACTGTCTGCAGAGGTAATAAAGAGAATTACAGCTCTTCCGGGGGTGGGGCAGGGGGGAACAGGCCCAGCAGAGGCAAACAAATTTGCCCAGGGATGTGTTGAGTCCCACATTCCTGGCGTTTATTATATTTGTTTTCTCCATTTTAAAGAAAATACTTCGATTTAGAGCAGTGGATCTAAACAGGGTGGTGGTGGTAGGGATTTGTCTTCAGGGAGCATTCAGCAATTTCTGCAGACATACTGGTTGTCACAACTGGGAGATGGATGGGTGCTGCTGACACCTAGAAGCCAGGGGTGCTACAAAACATTCCAGCAGGAACACAGAGCTCACCTTGAGTGGACGTGTAGCTGTACCACCATCATACCTCTGACTGCAAATGTGGGCTCAGCCTAACATTCAAAGCCACCACTTTATCTGCTATGCATTTATTCAGTCATAGTGAATCAAAGTCTATTTAAAAATTGGCTGTTAGGTGGTTCTATTTTTCACAAAATAAATGTGGTCTTGAAGCAAATAAGGATGTAGTAATATTGAATTTAGCTATTAATCTAAAGCATTAGTCTGGTTGATATTTTTGTCACTTTCTTCAAATCTGTGATCATATATCTATGGCCAATATATTTTAAATAATATATTATTTAAAAGAAGGAAACATACTTTTCAACATATTGTTATTTTCTACATAACCTTGAAAATAAATGTAGTTGAGTTAATTGAGCTTGGAGCAATCATTGGAACATGGAGTACTTCAGTAATAGATTCTCCTGAGTTCAAGTCTGACTTTTGTTCCTTTTAAACAATTAATTTTATTGGCACATTTTGTATATGCATAATGATAACATTCATCATAGCAAATCTATGGTTTTTTTCTCAGTCTGCTCCTCTTTTTTCAGCCCCTCTTCCCCTCATTATTTACAAAAGCTTTGTTTCCATTCTTTCCTTCCATTCACTTTTTGTTTTCCCTTCCTCTTTCCCCTTCCTAACTTCAGTTTTTAGTGGAGAAACTGTTTAATTTTAGCAAGCTTTACTTTTTCTTCGTAAATGGCTAATAATTTATTATAAAGGCTAGAGAAAATGTACAGTTAGTGCCTAGCTAATGGATGTCTGTAAATTATAGAAATTGATAGAGAAGCAGTGATTTCAATGTTTCCTAATATGACCTTTTAATTTATTATATTTCATTGCACAAACATTGTTCAATCAATGTTGTTTGTTTATGAGTTGCCTGAATGTCTCCCAGGCAGCCTCAGCCTTCTCATGCATGAGGCTCTATTAGCAAAAATGTCACATTAAACAGCTTGGCCCGAACACCATAAGTCCCCAGAGAAAGAAAAAATCCTGAAAAAATGCCCTTTGTCAAGTCCCCTTCTAAGCACAGCCACACAAAAAGACATGTCATAAACAATAGAAAAAGCTTTCAACATCTTATGCAGAGGCAGCTCCCTATCTTTCCTGTGTACCGACAGATAATGAATCAATGTAAGGCAGTCAAAATTCTTTCCTACTGACCTGCCTAAAGTAGGCATTTCTGCAGGTCCCTGGATAAATAGTGATTTCCAAGGAAATCTGAGGACAGCTATAATAATTCACCTGCCTTCGGCTAAAGAGATAACTTTGAGTTTGAAGGCATTAGTGTCTTACGGCATCTCTTCAGTCTATACTGGAGGAGGATAACAGCCTGTTTGGGAGGAAAGAAAGAAAGGGATGATTCCCAACACTCAAATTCCTAATCTGGTTTAAACACCAAGAAAGGAATGACCTTGGAAAAACCTCTTTACCTTTGCAAAATCTAGGGAATACCTGGCCTCTTTGCCTTAGCTTGCTTAAGAGGAATAAAAGAACTAGAAACATTTGGGAACCACAAATGAAGGTTACTGTGGTTATCATTGTTATTATAACTTGTTGTACCAAATAAGTTATGTAAATCCCAGTTGATAGGTAAATTTCTTTAGGTCTCAGTTACAATTTTTTTTGTTTGGGGCCAACTGCTACAACTTTCAGAACTAGAAGTTTTCCCACCTACTCTGTCCTTCTTCTCTACCAATTATTAGCAAAGCGAATGCCATCTACCCCCTTCCCACAGGGTTGGAATTAAATGTCCCATATTCATAAACTTGGCAAGCTGAATACTTCCCTGGAGCACCATGAGGTCTCAAACTGCCCTTCACATGCCTAGCAGCAAAGACTACATGCAAATCAGTGGCTTCCACTATTTCAAAGCAAATGACTCTAACTGAAAAGATCTTTACTTAGGATTTTCCTCTACTTGTTATGTTTTTATGCATAACTTCTTATCTGTACTTGATTATGCTGGAATAAGGCCATGAATATTAATGGATGGAATTTATAATTTAGTGTTGTGCCTTTTCTGCTGATTAATTCAAGGACATTTTATTTCTTAAGAAGCTAGGTTCCTGAAGTAGTCAAATACATTTTCCTGAATGCTCAGTTAAACTTACAATATTTGTCTACCAATTCAGGTTCAAAGTAGGTATCAGACTTACTATAACTTTTATTTTAAAAGATAACTATATTGGATATTGAGACGATTAACCTTAAATTTCTCAGGAAAACTTATTTTGAATCTTGCAGTAAAGCCAGAGAGCTCTTTATATATTAATGAAATTGTGTTAAATAATGCATAGTATTATTAGGCCCTGCCTTGGGCCTCACCTGTACAGAAAATGGGAGGATTTCTAATTGATTTGTAACTTGGCTAAAACAATGAAATGGCTCAAAATTAGAATGCTAAATCACTGTGCTATTGCCAGCTCAGAAAAAGGCACTCTTTAGAATAACTTCTGTCAGCAAAGCATTCAAGCTAAGTTTTTTAACCAAGGCTGAGAGATCTATTAGTTTTAATGCAAATTACCAGATAAAACCTTCAGTGATGGTCTAATGCTGCATGCACTTCATGGAATACTCTTATTGAAAGAATAGGACTATTAGAAAAGAAAGGAATATGAAAGAATGAAAAATATTATAAAGTTATATATATATATATATATATATATATATATATATATATGATGGGAGGGAGAGAGAAGATATTGGAGTAAAAGAAAGGAATTAAGAGAAAATGAAGGAGAAGGGGACATATAAAACTAGGACAATCAAAAACAGTCCCAAATAAAAGAGAAGAGGAAAATAGAAAATTGAGAAATAAGTAATGTTAGAAAGTACAAAAGGACAGATTGGGGCAAAGGGAATTAGAACCAAAAGGAAACAGGAATAAATTAGGAATAGAAGAAAAGGTGAGGTAGAGAAGAGAGAGCTAAAGAATGTGGGGAAGGGAAAGAAAAGGAAGCAGAACAATTTAGAAGAAACAATCTAGAAGAAATCCAAAGAAGAGATGGCGGGGTTTGCAAGAGAACTCACGTCCCTTTTCTGACCATGTGAGGGCCCCAGCTCTGGAATGAAGGACCCCTGGTACACATAATCTCAATCTGGATTTCTTGCTGAGCTCTCTCTCTCTTTTTTTTTTTATTGCTGTGAGGAACCTAGATGTATGATGTGGAATAAACGCTATAACCACCATGGCATACAAGACGCCATCTTTGATGCAGTAAAAAACACGATGATTACTATGTCATGAATTAGGGCATGTTTTGCTTTGCTTATTGGTGTGTTATTATCAGAACATTTTTTGAAAATACTTACTTTAGAGAGTTCTTTCTCAAACTTCTGGGAAAGGATCTGAGCTGTGAATTCCAAGCGTTCCACTCTGACCACAGGAAAGGTGGTGTCTGGCAGGGAGACGGAGCACTGGCAGATTCCATGGTCATTCACGGAGCCGGTGAAATTGGAAAATGGCTGTGAATAATAAGGCGAGCATCAGTAATAAGCTGGAAACTGAGCCCTTTTGGCAACAGGAGTGACAGGAATTGGCTTGTCAAAGGAGAGCTTGGAGGCCAGTATGGGGAGCCCAAAACAGAAATGAAAAGGAGCAAACTAAAAGCACTGTGCTTTCAGGAGGAAGTAACTGCACAGAGCTTACCTGCAGCCTCCCCTGTTGGACTAAGTCTTTGTCATCAGCCATTACCAAGAGGAAGATTCTCCACTCCTGAAAAGGCTTAAAGGAAACCCTTACTGTCTATGTAAAGAAAGGGAGAGAAAAATGACAAGGATTCTAAATTTGTGTATCAATTCTACACTTATTCTAGGCGATGCTTCCCTAACGGTCAGTTCTGCCTCTGTGAAATAAAGATGCCCTAGACACAGGATTCATGTGTAGGATTCACCAAGTAATGTTAGCCAAGTCCAGAACATAGCAGATATTTGGTTTCTGTCTCTTCCTGTTTCCTTCTACTATTCATTTTCTCTCCCTCATCTTTACCCCAACCTCAAACGAGGTCTTTTCCGAATGACAAAATCCATGTAGGATGTGGGTTATGGTGAAAAAATAATGCAAATTTATATCCTGTCCTTAGATAGGAAATTATATAATTAACATCCTTCAAAATGGTGAGAATGCAGTCATTTGGTAAAACCATGCATTGTATGAATTTGAAGGGCTTGTGCAATTTCTTTGTTTCAAAGTAAAAGTTCTCCAGTTTATCACTTGCACAAAAGTCATTTTAAAATATTTGTTGTTTTTTAAAGATATTCAGGCTCACACTTCAGTGCTGCTGCATATTTTAAAATGACAGATTTGAAAGATCCTGTTTTTCTTTTGTCCCCTTTGAACTACCCCAAAGGAACACTGGCACAATTAACATTTTTTTTTATTACTACTATTGCCTTAAATATTTAGTCTTGGCAGCTGCATGGCTGGCCCTTTTAATAATCTCTTCTGAAGGCTATCAGAAAGCTTACCTGTGGAGCACTAGCCTGAGGGGCTCTATGAAGCTAAGTAGGAGAGAAAAGTGACTTTCAGAAGCCAAGAGACTCAGGCCACATCTCTGAAAGTTCAAGCCACCTGGCTGCAGCTGAGGTTACATGCTCTGTGTCTACCTGTCTTTAAGATTCACTAACAAGCTGCACCTAGATGATTCTGTAATTGAAACCTCTTAGCCTTCAGTGACTTTTGGGCCAGTCAAGGCTTTTGAAATTAAGTTGTTGGTTGTTGCTTTTTTTATTTCTTAGTTTAGCCAAAGCTGCTTTAGGATGAGTAGAAAGAAAGCAAAATTTGTTCTCCATTCCAGGTAACTTCTTAACATTGACCTCAGTTTTGCAAACACAGTCTTATATCTTTAGGAATAAGACAGCAAGGAGAAGGAACAGATATTTTTTCCCAGAACATGGGGCAGAAGAGGGTTAGATGAATAGGGGAAAGATCTTTTCCAGGGATTAACAAGAACTGGGCAACCATACCAGCAGAATGTCAAAGAGGTGGGGTTTTCTTGGGCCCAGCTCTATTATTCCTTCTAAAGATAGAAAGACTCTGGGAGAAGCATGCGAAGTCTTTTAGAGGAAGGACTCGCATATCACAAGCTTTTGAAGAAATAGCTTATTATAACTGTCCAGCAAAAAATAAAAATAAAAAAAGAGGAAATAGTGCATTACAATTGACAAGGAGAGGTTAATTAGCTGCACAAGACAGAGCTGGATCATTCTTAGAGTTCTCTGTAAAGCTCTGTCAACTCAAGAAACAGGAGATATCATGAAGCAGTCAAAACAGAACTACTAGTTAAGAACTTTTTGTCCTAAAGTTCACCTGAAAGACAGGCAAATAATTATAAGCCCTGCTGACTGTCATTCCACAAATTTCTAGTGAGCATCTCTGCCCCAGTACTGTGGACTCCCTGCTTCTATCCCACTTATTATGAGCCTAGTGTGCTCAGCTGACATCACAATGGCCCATAAGTTTGATCAGTGTCTCCCATTAGAGATATTTCTGCTCCTTGAATTCAAAGACAATGAAGCTAAGGGTGATGAGTCTGTCTCTGTGGTGAATGCTTAAATTTTACTTGAGTATAACACGGGGAATGGGTGACAAAGATAAGTACTTGTCTCCTTGGCCTTTGGAAGGCTATATGATCCCTCTTGTGGAAAGCAAATAGGACCCTGTGTGTTCCACAAAACATCACATACAGCTAAGTATCCATTCAGCTTTTGATCAGCTAACATTTACCAATGTCTACCATGTAGCAGACTCTGACATTAGAAGACAATTAAAACCAATTTTTGCCTAGAAATTAACCCATTGTCATTATGAAAGCATTTGGAGTTGGGATATCTTTTTTCTCCCATTTATTTTCAACCAATTCTATAGCCTGACAACAAAATCACATGACTCTGTGATTTGTGCATTTCCAGTTATTGTGTGAACAGGGCACTGATCCTTGACCAGTCTGTGAAATGACTGCAAAGGCTCTGCATGAAGGCAGAGTGCGTGAGCACTACAGCTGAAGGTACAGCTCACAGCTGTGGTTTAAGGTTACAAGTGGTTCTAATTAACAGCCAAGCCTAAGTGCCCACAAAGATTTAAGACATAAAATAATGGTACTCCACTTTTTCAAAGTACAGAAAATGATATGTTTAGAACTTGCTCAATGACAGTTTCAAAAGGGCTTTCTACCACTTTTCAAAGCCCTCATCAATCTGACAGCCAGACTCAGAAGATTAGTTTTATAGTGAAATTGAAACCTAGCCCACACACACACATACACAAACCTTGAAGTTGTGACACTGACTCAACAGAAAGAAATAAAGGAACTACAAGAAAATCTCTAAGTACAATTTAACTACTAGTCCTTATCTCCTTTTAAATATTTGTCTTTTTTTAAAAAAATATTTGTCTTCTTATCAGACAATAGGCATTTGGAATTTCTCTATTTCTTAACTTATACTTTATTGTCTATTATTTTAGTTGATGACTTCATCCAAGCTTTGCTAGTGATGAAGAGCCATAACAAATTTTTATTGTTAACTTCACTATAAAAATGTTGTTTTAATTGACCCCAGGAATTGGTATTATGGGACAAAATAATACACCTGACATCTCATACAAAAAATCCTTACACATATTTATGATTCACACAACTTTCTGCTCTTTGATATATATCTCTGCTCCTTGAAAATAGAATTAGAATACTATATACATAGAGAGTTAGTGTGTACTGTGCACAACCTGGAAATGGGTTAAACTTGAGTAAAATAATGAAATTAACATGAGCAGACCGTAAATTATTTAACTTGCCAACTTTGTGACTTCAACAAATGACTTAACCTCACTAAGCATTAGTTTTAATATTCCTAAAGTGAAAGCATTCATATATAACGCAGTATTATGCAGACATAAAGAATAAAATTTTGCAATTTTTTGGAAAATGCATAGATCTGGAAATGATCATACTGAGTGAAATAAGCCACTCATAAGGACATATATGATACACTCTCCCTAACATGTAAGTCTAAGAAAAGGTGACAAGAAAGTAGATTGGAAACTATTGTTTGATAGGAAAAAGGGAAGAAGGGAGAGGGAGTGTGTAAGACTAGGGGAATGAATATGATCAAAATGCAGTATATGTAATGAAATTCCTCTAAGAAATGTGAAAGGGGAGCATAGAAAAGGACTGATGAGAGGGGGTGAGATGCTCATATTATGGTATGCACATGCACAAATTTGCCAAAAGGAGACCTACTAATCTGCATAAGCAATAAAAAAGAATAAAAGAACAAAACTGAAAAAGAACAAAAACAAATCAACTAGAACTGTTAATTTAATCATTTCTTAAGATTAAGCAATGTGTATTACATACCTAATCTAGTCCTGACACTATGTACATGGTATATATGATCTTTCTGGTTTCTAGCTAGGTCTTATCCAAATGGCTTGGTAATCACTAAGAAATGAACAGAGAGCATCATATACTCCTGATAGTATTGAGAGCAAGCAATAATAAAGCTTCTTTAGGCTGGCAAAATAGCTCAGCATGTTAAGCACCTGCTTAGGCAAGTACAAGGACTGGTGTTCGATCCCCCACACCACATGCTACGCCCGTTCAGCCCACAAGCACGCTGAGCCAGCAACCTAGTCTGTGTGGTGGCACATGCCTGTAATTTCAGCACTGAGGAGGCTAAGATAGGAGGATCACTATGAATCTGAGCTATGTAGTGAGACCCTGTACCAAATACATTTAAAAAAAACCCTGCTTCTTCCCTTTCTCCTATTTGCCTTCCATTTATACATGCACATATAGATACGGAGCTGTCAGATTTGCAAGAACCTAGAAGTGCAGAGGTAAGATCTTTGATAGAGCTGGGATACTCTTCCTCAGGTCTCACTGCAACAAGTCTAATCCAGGATGGGTAATTGTTTCTCACCCTCTCATTTCTCACCCCTTTCCATGTATATTCCCATTTCTTTAAAGAAAATCTAAAGATGACTGACTCCTTGCTGAAGAAACTGAACTTACTGTGGATCCTACTTAGGAACCCCAACTAGACCAATCCTTCATAATGCATGACTTTTGTTGGTTTGGCTTGTCTGGCCATAGAAATGGCTCTAAGGATTTCCTATAAGGAAAATTGAAAGGAGTTAATATTTCCTCAGGAAATGTCCACATATAGTGGTCCTTTCCAATAACTCTTCTGCCTTATTTCTGTTATCCATTTTCCTTATAAACTAAAAGCAGAAAAACTGGCAGGACATCCACTATGAAACTGAGGATTTTACTCTCTGCAGGACTACTGTTCACATGGAAAAGGGGACATGGATGTAGGCAACAAATCAAGTGGGCAAAATTCTTCTGGAGCTTCTGCCTACGGGTCCTTTTCCTAATAGCTTCCAACCCACACTGCATATTGCAATCACCTGGAGAAGGCTTTTTAAATATAGGTAATTTCTGAACATCTGATCTATGGGTAGGCTTTGTGCATACAGACTTTTAGAATCTACCTGGTCACTGATCCTAATGTGCAACTTGGCTTGAGACATTCAAGCATAGATTCTTACTTCAAAGCTCCTAGCTAGAGAACTAGAAGCTGTCTCTTTTGCTATCAATTTAATTATTTCACAAAGGTTTTAGTTCTTCTCCAGAGCACCTGAAATGAACAGAGAGCATCATAAATCTTTTAGAGTGCCCAGCTCCAGCCATATGTAAAATTGTATTCATATCCCCAAAGAGCAAGAGGAAGGGAATGAGTATAGTTCAGTCAGTTTCTGAGGACTCCTCACCTGAGATACAGTGCTACCTCTTGCCCAAGATGTGGCCACTGAAGTTTCTTCCAAAGGAACTGTAGTCAGATGTTTATGTTGAGCTAAAGTTGGAACTGAGGAAGAGGCAAAGGTCTGGCCTCCCACAGTCCCAGAACCAGGACCAAGTAAGGACAGAAGGGCTAGAAAGAAGCCAAGTCCTTGAGCCATCTTGTCCTCTTACCTGGATAACTTGCTTCTGCAGAGACCATGGTATTCTTATAGTGTGCAGGGGGGATTTCCCAGTGCCACTTTGTGGGGAAAGAGGAAGGAGCTAGAGAACATATGACCCAACCCAGGAGTGTCAGGACACCCAGCTACCTGAGTCACATCCACACCTGTCACGGAGCCCTACTCTGAACTGCCGGTAGAGCCAGATTATCCCCTGCCAAATATTTACTCAAATGTGCTTTATCAAGATCCAGATCTGGTTCCCAAGTTGCTACTTTCTTGAAAGAGGTAGTACTGATATATTCCTTGTGGTTGAGATAAAGTTCAGAGATTCCAAGAAGGAAAAGAATCCTTTGATCCTTTGCCAGGAAGTACTTCTAAGTATTTTCTCTCATTATGTTGAATCCCGTGTTCCTGAGAAAATGGGGGCATTTGCTTTAGTGACTGTCACTCTCCAAGAGCTATGTGAAGCATTCTCATCAGTTCTCATTGTCCAGGTTACTTCTGACCTGTGCACAGTGTTTGCCTCTAAACCAAGTTCTCTCAAAACCCCCACTCTGAAGGAGAGATCAGCAGGGCTTTATTCCCTAGAAACCAACACAGGACTCTGTACCTTGTGAGCTCTCACTTCTATGAGCTCAATGTTGGGAAGGTAAAGAACCCAAGCAAATAGAGGGTCCCCAAATGACCTAAATCCTGTGCCCTGAGCCTCAAATGTTACTTGAAAGTCAATCAAAGAGGCTCCATGATGGGCAGTTTCTCTCCAGCAGTTCATCCGACCTCCACTGTCTCTGCCCCTCTTGTGAGCTACCCAGGCATTGGAGACCTCCTGGAAGTCAGCACTAGGATGCCTTTATTCTTGCCTAGCTCCCCTGGCCATGGGATTCAGACTCCTTTCCCATCTCTCCTGCACTATACACCGTGTTGTGATCTCTGTCTTCCTTCCTGCAGAGGAAGAAAGATACCGGCTTGAACTGAAAATGCAGCTGGGTTCCTTATCTGTCAGTGGAATTGGCCATATCACTGAGCCTCTAAGAGTTATATCAATTCCTAAATTGCTATAACTAAATAAAATATTGCCCTGAAAGTTGTTTATAAGCTTTGAAATGCTATACAAGTGTCAGCTTTTTTGTTTGATTTCCTAAAGGCTAGATTAATATGAACTTGTGGCTCAAAGAAAGCAAGTCATGCCTGCTCCAACCCTGCCCCATCCCAGGAACACTTTGAGAGACCTATTCACAGGAGTCTTTCACAGCTTAATCTCACAAGACTCCTAAACTCTCTGAATAAATGCAGCACTTAGAGAACCACCCCAAAGTTGTACTTCTTCAAGTTATAACACACAAGTAAGATATCCATATAGTTATCGCATAACTTAAACCTCCTCTTATTAAAAACCAATGCCATTATGGAAAAAAACCCAATGCCAAATCAGAATCTTAAGGCCAGGGAGATAGCTCAATAGAATAAGCACCTGTCTGGCTAGTATAGGGTCCCAATTTCAATCCCCATGCCCACCCCCAAATCAGAATCTTAAAACAGTGGTACACTAATCCAGATATCCAGAAAAGGATGTAGGCAGGAAAAATGTAGATAGGTAAATAGAAGTGAAAGAGGGAGAAGACATGGGGAAAACAGGAAAAAAAGGTAAGTTGATCTCATTTGGGTTCATTCCAGTTCTCTTTGGTCTGCATCCTCAGTTCAGTATCCCACACTACTCCCTGATCAGAAGGCTGAGTGGCTGATGTTGCTGCCTTCATCCACTCTCTACAATGAAACAGATATGTTGAGTCACCCAAGAATATTTCCTTAGGCTGATAATCTTATGACCATATCATGTGGCTGTGGGAAAGAGAAGCAGCTAAAGGAGACACAGAAAGGACAAAAACACATTCCCAGATGCTTTCAAGGAACAACAGGTTCCGCCTACTCACCTATAGTGGCCATCTGTACTCAAAATAAAGGGGAGCAATAGGTGGATCATGGCCAGCTTTTGAGGAACAAAAAAAGCAATTTTTTTTCCAATACCAGGGATTGCAGTAGGACCTTGCACTCACCAGGAAAGCACTTATTCTACTGAGCCATCTCCATAGCCCTAAGAAAAGAATTTTGAAGTCACCATTTTTCATATTCTACTCTATGCAGGATTAACAGATTGAGAAAATAAAAATATAGGTACCTAGTCTCATTTAAACTTCTAATAATAACCTTCCAAATATAAGTAGAGTGGGACCTTGGTTCATGAATTTAATTTGTTTTATAATTGGGGGAAGATGATGACATTCGTGTTTGTGCAAAGACATTAGCCACAATTGTATTTGTCATCTGAAGTTTGTGAACAGAAGCAAAATTTTGTCAAATACTTTGATTTAAGAACCAAATTGGGTAGTGAACAGAATTGTTCATGAACTGAGGTATTGCTGCATGTCCTGTGTAGTATTTGAACATACCGACACTAAAATATATTACCTGATTAACATTTAAATTGAATGAGACATCCGGTATTTTATCCAGAAACTCTACTATTGAGACAAAATTATAACTGTAAAATTAATTGTTCCCTATTAGAAGCAATTCAGGCTTGACCTCTTTGGCCTAATGTTCTCACCTCTTCAGTGGCTAGTCCAAAGTAACAAAATCATAGGGCATGTGTGAGGCGGAAATCGGCATACAGAAGCCATTATTCTGAGATTGAATCCTATGAATATAGATAGAGAGAGGAGAGTATGGGTCTACATACCATTTCATCTCCCCTTTTCCTCCTGATTCTCATCAAAGCAAAGGACAAAATCTGTCCTCATTTGCTTGTACCTTATGCCTGTAACTCTAATGAGCTTTCCTTGACCCTTTATTTCAAAGAGCAGACTAAGGGGGGGAAAAAAAGCAAACAAGCTCATTATCAATGGCTGTATGTTGTCATGACTACATTTGAGAGCTTCAGTGGTAGATCCTGTGAAAGACCCCTTACCAGAGAGGTTGTTCTCCTGTGAAAATAGGGTAGCTCTTCTCTTCAACACAAAGGTACCTTAGCCAGGAAAACAACTACCTCACTACACTCCTAGGTTGCTTGTTGCTGCACATATCCTTCTTTCCAGAATAAAGATTTAATCTCTTTGGTACCCTCAAATGCACAAAAGCATTGCAATGCTTCAGTAATGAGACTGTTAATAATAATAGTTTGATCACTTTCTCTGCAAATAACTTTGTCCTGAAAAACAAGCTTCCTGTTCTTTGACAGCTCAAAGACAAAAAAAAAAAAAAAAAAAAAAAAAAAAAAAAAAAAAAAAAAATCTGGGCTGTTAAGCAAACAGTGTTTTAATTATAAAAATGTATCCTAAACCTGGGCTCCTTCTAGATCACGGAGTCACTGAAATTCACCTGAGTAATACAGAATTCCTCAATGGCAGATTGAAAGGAAATTACTATTTATGTGCTTAGTTAGTGGAATTCCTCCCAAAATCATATTTCTTGAACAGTTGTATCACATAGGAAAGGTATCCATATGGTTATCGCTTTGGTTTAATCTTGTTTCTAAAAACTAATGCCAAGCACAGTGCAGTATTTTCAGAATAGAAATCCCTTATGGGTACCTGATTTCTACAAGAACAATAGAGCATGTGTCTAGTTTACAGACTGACTATGGAAGCTGTATTGCAGTGACCTTTTCATGTAAGTTGATTATGCCCAAAACTACCCTCAAATCTCCATGAAGTCTCTCTTAGCAATACCAGCAAATTACATGTAGATATAGTAATCAATTAATGCCATGTATTCATTCTGAAAAGCAGTCCCTTAGTTAACGATGTGTTACAGTCTATTCTGTGCAAAATATCAGGCCTTATGATGAGCTATAAAGAAGAAAGAAAGAAATTTTCTAAAATAAATGTCTAGTTACTTAGAGATGCCAGGCCACTTGAGGGACTGTGCTAAGAATTTAGATAACAAGTTGAACACATCAAATGCACAGTCACTAACGAATGACTGGATAGTGTCCCAAACCAGAGGGGTTAACGTGTGAAGAACTCACCAGCAGTGAGTCTTCCTGCTAACGACTATGACCTCATCTATTTCAAAGCCCCAGCACCAAGCCCAGTACTGGCACTTGGTGCTCAATATCTGCACAGTGAGTAATATATGGAATAGAAAAAGGAACATATGCATGGAATCAATGAATCATTTCAGCAAAAATCTGTGCAAAAATTCTTAATAATTATTGAAGGAAACAAATAACAATTAAATAGTACCGGAGAAAAGGAAGAGAATTAAAGGTTTTGCTTGTTTTGTTTTGGTACTAGAAAGGGAACTCAGGATCTTGCACTTTCCAGGCAGGCACTTGTGTCACTGAGATAAATTCCTAACCAAGGAAGAAAATTTATTTATTTGTTTATTTATTAATTTATTGTGGTATCAGGTATCAAACTCAGGACCTTGCACTTGCCAGGTAGCACTTATTCCACTGAGTTATCTCCCTGGACCCTAAGGAAGAAAATTTCAAGCAGAAAAATTTCTTGAGTAAAAGGATTTGGGCATGCTAAATTCTCTATAGAATAACTATTATGTCCAAGCCCTTGCAAGTTTGTGTAGTTAACCCTACCAACTTATCTCACATTGGAACTACTAAGGATGTTATTTAACCTGACTGAAGCCCCCAATTTAACTTAACTCCAAAAATTTTCTTTACCATAAACTACCCAGATTTGCCCATATCAATGGCATAGTATTCAAGCCTCAGATTACCCCATTTTCAACTAAATATTTATGTTTTCAACCTGCAGCAAAATCATTAGTGTTGAAAGAATGCAAAACCAAACTGATAAGTGGGGCAACTAATATAAACCAATGCAAAGCCCTTTGCAAATGCTGATAGACAATAACAAAAGAGTTAAAAGGGAGAAAATATTAATTGGGTTGGAGGAGAAATATTACATATTCCCACAGAGGAATTTTAAACAAATGAGCTCCAACAGTATTCAGAATTCTCTCTGTGAAAAACACACACTC